GACTTGTTGATGTAGCCTAGGATATTGATGTATGAATAAATTTCCAGGGCCAGTCAAGTCAGACCAGAATGGAAACTTACATGGAGATATGAAACAGAATATATTTCAGAAACTAGAAATTATTCATTATTGGGTCACCTGGGTGGCTCAGTGGGTTAAGCCTCTGCCTTCAGCTCAGGACTCTCTTGCTCTGTCAAATAAATAAAAATCTTAAAAAAAAAATAAAGAAATTATTCATTATTGCTGGATAGGCCGCCCAGGGAGGGGCACCTGATTGGCTCAGTCAGTTAAAGTGTCCTACTCTTGGTTTCGGCTCAGGTCATGATCTCAGGATTGTAGGATTTGTCTCCGTATCAGCTTAGTGCTCAGCATGGAGTCAGGTTGTCCTCCCTTTGGTCCCTAACCCTCCCCTTCCATGCCTGTGTGTGCGCTTTCTCTTTCTGTCTCAAATAAATAAATAAGGGATGCATGGGTGGCTCAGTGGGTTAAAGCCTCTGCCTTCTGCTCAGGTCATGATCCCAGGGTCCTGGGATGGAGCCCCGAATCGGGCTCCCTGCTGGGCGGGGAGCCTGCTTCCTCCTCTCTCTCTGCCTGCCTCTCTGCCTACTTGTGATCTCTATCTGTCAAATAAATAAATAAAAATTTAAAAAATAAAAAAATAAGTAAATATTTTTTCCTTTTTCTAACATTTAAATTCAATTAATTAACATATAATGTCTTATTTGATTCAGGGGGTACAGATCTGTGATTCATCAGTCTTACATAATACCTAGTGCTCATTACAACACATACCCTACTAAATAAAATCTTTAGAAGAAAACCAGCCCAGGGACGTGTACAAGTCCATTTTATTAAGTGTATTTTAGACTTGTGCTTTCTCAAACTTTGGCAAAGGACTAATTAAAAAAATTCCAGGGCGCCTAGTTGGCTCAGTCAGTTACGTGTCTGCCTTCAGCTCAGGCCAGGTCATGATCCCAGGGTCCTGGGACTGAGCCCTGCATTGGGCTCCCCGTTCAGCAGGGAGCCTGCTTCTCTCTCTCCTGCTCCCCTGCTTATGCGCTCTCTCTCTCTCAAGTAAATAAGTAAAATCTTTTAAAAATTCTAATCTATTGTTCCCTACTTCTGTAAAATACACTAAAAGTGAATTGTTAGAAAAGTAAAACAAAGTCCATATTTTTATTAGATTCAACAAATACAAAAATTCTCTGTCAAACTGCAAGAAAAGTTTCTAAATGCTTACACTTAATTTCTGAAATACTTTCATTGCAGATTGGTAACAAACTTTGAACAGCCCAATTGTAGTTAGTTTCTTTACATCTATGTTTTAGATCATAGTCAAGACCCCGGGCTTCATCACTGGAGATACTAGGGAATCATAAGGACTTTGTAATATGGGAGTGACACAGGCAGATCTGCATTGAAGAGTAGTGTGGATGAAGGGTTTTATGGTTGCAAAAACCACAGGGAAACCAGCTTGGAGAAAATTAAAGTGGTTCAAGTGAAAGGTGGTAAGATGTATGCAAATAGCCCAAGTAGCTGGGATTCTAGCTTGGGCGACTGAAGAGTTGGAATGGAGTGTCTTCATCAAATTTTTATTGTCTGTAATCCTCTTAGATTAAAAAAAATAATTATGAAAACGAAAACTTTTTCTTAACTCATTTGACACCACAACCTAATCTGACCTGAACTTACTTGTGGCACACCTCCGAAATTTATATCAAGTTGTCTATAGTTACATTTATCCCACTTTTGTTTATCCCAGTGTGAATAATTATGTCTCAATGCAGAAAAATTAATTTGTTTGATCACAGGGTGCTGTCCTAGGCCCCATTGGGATTGTTGCCCTATATGTTGTCTATGCACCGTATTACCTTTCTAAAATCCAAAAATATTCTAAAACACATTTACTATCCAGATTTTCCACCCCATTTACTCAAGAGTCTTGGCCTGAGTTTTTGGCTATTTGCATACATCAGACCCACCTGCAGATAGTGAATATTCATCGCATTTTGTGCTATAGACTCTGAAAATAGCTCCTTCAGAAAGATTTTATTTATTTTATTTATTTTTAAAGATTGTATTTATTCATTCGAGAGAGAGACAGAGAGACAGAGAGAGCACAAGCAGAGGGAGAGGCAGGGAGAGAGGGAGAAGCAGACTCCCCATGGATTTGGGGGGCTCTATCCTAGGACCCTGAGATCATGACCTGAGCTAGGAGAGATGTTTAACCATCTGAATCATGCAAGTGTCCCTTAAAATTTTATTTTTAAGTAATCTCTTTATCCAATGCGGGGCTCAAATTTACAACCCCAAGATCAAGAGTCGCATGCTCTACTGATCCAGACTGGCACCCCCAGAAGCAGATTCTTAAAAGTGTTTTGAGCAGTGTCCTCATGTAAAATAAAGCTAAAAGCTTCTTTCGTGACTACCTTGAAGTGTCAGAACTTTTTTGGATGGTAAGGTGGAATGTTTTTATGGGCAATACAGTCTCATTACTGTATATCTCCTTTGCACATGTCAAAAGTCAATGGTCAGTGATCTTCTGGAATTAGTTCCCAAATCTGGAATTAGTTCCTCTGTTCTCTGACCTTTATTCAAAACCAAAGAGTGAGCTCTGAATGGTGACAATTTGGGGCCTAGTAGAAAATGAGATGTGTGTGTGAGTGTGTGTGTGTGTGTGTGTGTGTGTGTGCACGCGCGCACACGCGCGCACATGTGTGTGTATACATGTTTGTTTTTTAAAACTTTTGGATTTACATGGGGCACCTAGGTAGCTCAGTGGGTTAAGCCTCTGCCTTCCACTCAGGTCATGATCTCAGGGTCCTGGGATGGAGCCCGGCATAGGGCTCTCTGCTCAGCAGGGAACCTGCTTCCCCTTCCCCCTCTGCCTGCCTCTCCGCCTCCTTGTGATCTCTCTCTCTGTGTCAAGTAAATAAAATCTTTTAAAAAAGAACTTTTGAATTTACAGGAAAATTGAGAAGATAATATAGAGAGTTCCCCTATACCCTATATCCAGTTTTACTATTGTTGCCTTTTACCAGTGTGGTGCATTTGCCAACATTAATGGACCAGTATTCTTATGTTATTATTAATGAAAAGTCTACAGTTTATTCAGATTTTCTGAGTTTTACCTAATATTTTTTTCTATCTAGAAATAGCTGGCTGTTACAAGTTCTCAGTCTTTCCTTGTTTTTGATGACCTTGATAGTTTTGAGGAGTACTTGTCAGGTATTTTGTAGTTTGACCCTCTATTGGAATTTATTTAATTTTTTTCTCAGGATTAGGTTAGTTTTATGGGGTTGAGGGAGGAAAACCACAGACATTAAATGCCATTTTCATTGCATGACATCAGGAGTACATAGTATCAATGTGATTTAGTACTGTTGATACTGACCTCTCCAGGTCAGCCGGGGGAATGTGCGTGAGAGACACACGATGACTACTGCAGCAGGGTTTTAACCTAGACTTTTCTTTTTGAGGATGAAATTTCTTCTCCTGCGCATAGCTCAGACCCATTTTGACTCTTTAAAAATACTTTGTTTTGAAAGCTTGAAACTTCCCCAGCAGTAACCTCTTTCCCAGAACTTCCTCTCAGCTCACTGGGCTCCACCATCTCTAGTGCTCCCACCCACCACTATCAGATCCTCTAAAAAAGTAAGATGCTGGGGCGCCTGGGTGGCTCAGTGGGTTGGGCCGCTGCCTTCGGCTCAGGTCATGATCCCAGGTCCTGGGTTCAAGCCCCACATCGGGCTTTCTGCTCAACAGGGAGCCTGCTTCCTCCTCTCTCTCTGCCTGCCTCTCTGCCTACTTGTGATTTCTCTCTGTCAAATAAATAAATAAAATCTTTAAAAAAAAAAAAAAAGTAAGATGCTTCAATTTTTACTAACATTAACTGAATATCTGTTTATGTGCTAGACATTCTTCTAGGCCCTCATTGTGTTAAATCATTTAATGGGAAGCAGCCTGATGCATAGAAAGAACTCGGGCTTTTGGGTAAGACTTGGGTTCAAACCTTAGCCCAGACCAATTAACTATGCAATCTTGGGCAGGTTCTGTGTCCTAGCCTTGGCTTCTTAAATGGAGATATTTGTTTCGCATCTTGCTGCAAGGAATAAAAAATTTTCTCCTAATTCTCACATTCATTTCACTTCCAATCCTCCCATCTTATGGGTACCAGGCTGAATCAGTCTAAAGAGCATGCCACTCTTGATCTCAGGGTGGAGTTCAAGCCCCACGTGGACTGTAGAGATTTAAAAAAAAATTACCCCCAAAACCCTATACCTACATTTTAATTTTATTTTTAAAAAATTATTGTTTTTTTAGTAATCACTACACCCAGTGTGGGGCTCGAACTCACGACCCCGAGATCAAGAGGGGCGGAATCAGCCAGGCACCGCCCTAGTCCTACATTTTTAAATGCTAAATTTTTTTCCCATAAAACATTGACACAATTTTTTCTGTGTGACTTGTTTTAAATCATATAGGACTTTGGAGGACAGGTAGTCTTTAAAATATTGTCCCGTCAGGGACTCCTACTTATAAAGAGGTCTCAAGAGTAAGTCTCCCATAACAAGCAGATCGTGGTTAAAAAGGAAAGAGAACAGAAGAAACTTCAGTTTCGATGGAAATATCAAATTTGGTCAAGGGGGCCTCGCCCGTTTTCATTTTCTATTGGCTAAGCTTACCATCAATCTCACCGGTTGTAAATAAACTGGATACGGAAGCATGTTGTTAAGGGGTGGGACCTTCCTGTCGCCATTGCTAAGGTGGGGGGTTCGTTCTCTAATAGGCTGGAAGCTGCTTTTCCCGCCCTCTCGCAGCAGTTGCTAAGAGGAGGGATTATAGAGTTCGTAAAGGACTGAGGGTTCGAAGCTCCACCCATCCGATTGGTGGGTAGGGGGCAGGTCTTGCAGTGGATAGGCTGCTGGCCCTGCCTGTTCCGGTTAGTTGCCGGGGAGAGGCACGTGAAGAGGAGGCGGTGTGAGACGACCACGGCGGGAGGAATGAAAGTGGCGGTCTCCCCGGCAGTTGGTGCCGGGCCCTGGGGCTGGAGGGCTGGGGGCCGTGAGGGCGGCGGGGTAGTGCGGCTGCTCCTGATCATCTTTGGCTGCTTGGCCTGCGGCTCAGGTACCGCCGGGGCAGCCGCCGCCTTGGGGGCGGGTGCCGAGAGGGTTATATTTAGAAAAGTGGGGAGTGTCCCTAGGGTGCGGACCGTTTTTCCGCAGTGGGGTGCGGACGTGGTGCGGAAAAAGCAGCTTCGTCGTCGTCACTGAGGGATCAGGGCTATGGGATGGCCTGGGGGAGCTACTAGAGTGGGGAGGAGCTTGGAGCCTTTTGGCAGAGACTGGAAGGGAGGCCTGGACTGGGTGAGATGCGGTCCTGGGGTCGTGTCGCGCTGCCTGGGCCTCCTTGGTTTTCCTGGTTAAAAGTGAGGGGACCCGAGTTCCATTGCTAGCGGGCAGAGTTGCCACTGGAATGGGGGCATCCCATTCATTGAGCAAGTTAGCAACACCTTCTGAGCGTCTTTTCTGTCCAGACTCTGGGCATGGGTGTGGCTGAACGGATCATTTTAATTCACTGAAATGGAGTGAGTTCTATCTAACGTCTTCTGTTCTTGTAAGATCCTGGCGCTGTTAAATTCGCGTTTCCAAACAAAACAAAACAAAACAAAAAACCACCACCAACAACAAAAAAACATCATTTCTCAAGCAAATTTACTGCTATCTACCTATTGGTGGATGATTGGCTTTGGACTGAAATGAAACTGTTTCCCTTTAACGCTCTAACTCATAAAACCTAGAATGTTTCTAAAAACCTCCTATCCTCTTATCAAATGCACAACACAAAAATAAGTGAGGGTTCCAAGTTCCGCTGGAGAGAGTTTGAAACGTGGGGTTCGGGATAATCGTATCTTGGAAACACAGTATGCTCTCACCTCTCCCATCCTTTGCTGCCTATCTCATGCCGTCACGTAAGATTATCCGTAGCTGCAGCTTTAAGGTTGTCTCAGGATCCATAGATCTAGTTCCAAGTGTAACGTCCTCCGTCCTGCATCCTGCGGCAATGGTTTGGGTCCCCCCACCCCCACCCCGGTGTGGGGGTGTGGGGCAGGGAGAGAAGGTAGTAGGTCTGCCGGAAGGTACTTTTCCAGAGGAGAGGGCCGGAGTAACATTGAAGGGCTACTTATGGTCCGAATGAACTTGGGCCAGATGGTTAACCTCTAAAATGGGGTAGTGGATTGTGGGGTTGAAAGAGAAAAATAAATTCAAAAATGTCTCTATCTAGTCAGTGCTCAATCAGCAGACACTTTAATGAGACACTTTTATGAGAGGAACAGGGGCTTCTTAGCTTGGAGGAGGGTAGACAGGTTGATGTTCTGCGTGGCTAGGTAGATCATGTGTGTGGCAGCTACAAACAGCTGATCATGTAGTACAGAAGAACTTTTTAAAAGCCAGATGTACCTAAAAAAAATGCAGTACTTCAAAAGGTAGGTAGTATTTTCTCATTGGAAGTTTTTGATTATAAAAATGATGTGAGTTTATTTAAGACTATTTGGGAAGCACAATGAAGTAAAAAGAAGTAGAAAAAACCCTCACTGTTTATTCCTTTCAGAGACAATCCATTGTAGCACACTTTCTCCTGGTCTTTTTTTTTAATGTGTTTCTAATAAAAAAATTTGAAGGGGCGCCTGAATGGCTCAGTGAGTTAAGGCCTCTGCCTTTGGCTCAGGTCATGGTCCCAGCATCCTGAGATCGAGCCCCAAATCGGATCCCAAATCGGATCGGGCTCTCTGCTCAGCAGGGAGCCTGCTTCCTCCTCTCTCTCTGCCTGCCTCTCTGCCTACTTGTGATCTCTGTCAGATAAATAAATAAAATCTTAAAAAAAAAATTTTGGAGGGTGCCTGAAGGGCTCAGTTGGTGCAGCGTGTGACTCTTGATCTTATGGTTGTGAGTTCAAGCCCCACATAGGGTGTAGAGATTACTTAAAAATAAAATCTTAAAAAAAATTTTTTTTAATTGATAATACATTCATAGACCTGTCGGCAAGCCAGTTCTTCTTGTAGGCCACCCGTTATTTCTCATTTGATTTTGTAACATAAGCATTTTCTTTTTTTTTTTTTTTCATTTATTTATCTGACAGACAGAGATAGCAAGTAGGCAGAGAGGCAGACAGTGAGAGAGGAGGAAGCAGGCTCCCCACTGAGCAGAGAGCCTGATGCGGGGCTCGATCCTAGGACCCTGGGATCATGACCTGAGCCGAAGGCAGAGGCTTTAACCCACTGAGCCACCCAGGCGCCCCCATAAGCATTTTCTTATATCATTTAAAATTCTTCTTAAATGTTATTTTTATTTGTATTCTATTTTTTGGACAGACCATTTAATGTTTCTGAAGTAAATGTGTGGTGTTTCTATTGTTGTTTGGACATTTGTTGTGTTTCTAGTTTTTCATTGTAGATAAGACTTTGTGAACTTTTTGTATATAATTTTTTACTGCATTTAGATTATATTTTTAGAATAGATTCTCAGAAATAGATTTATTAGATCAAAAACCAAAACATATTTAAGACCCTTGAAACACCTTGCTGAAATATTTCCTGAAAAGGTGTGCTTGTTTACACCACTAACAGCACTAATTGCTTGTGACCCATATGCTTGCCAGTATTGGTATTTTAGCATTGGAGATATACACCTTTGTTAATTTGATAGACCAAAAGTAGTGTTTTAACATGGCGTTTCTTTACATTTGCATTATTTTGAGGGAGCATCTCCTTTAGTAACTATTTAATTTTTCTTTAGACTAAGATTTTTTGGAATGTGTGTGTCCTTTGTTCTTGGTGTACTTGTAATTACTCTTTATTGGAGTTTTTCTTTTAAGATTTTATTTATTTGACAGAGAGAGAAGGAGAGCATGGGAAGCAGGGGGAGGGGCAGACAGAGGGAGAAGCAGGCTCCCGCTAGCAGGCAGCCTCATGGGGCTGGATCCCAGGACTCCAGGATCATGACCTGAGCCCAAGGCAGATGCTTAACCGACTGAGCCACCCAGATGGCCCTGGAGTTTTTATGTACTTTAAAAATCAATTTGTATGAACTTTCTAATATATTAAGGGTATATATATTTTATAATCTATTTATTTATTGAAAAATTTTCTTTAATTTGTTTACCCTCTTTTACTTTTTTTTTTTTTAAGATTTTATTTATTTATTTGACACAGAGAGAGAGATCACAAGCAGGCATAGGCAGGCAGAGAGGGGGGAAGCAGGCTCCCCGCTAAGCAGAGAGTCTGATGCAGGGATTGATCCCAGGACCCTGAGATCATGACCCAAGCCAAAGGCAGAGGCTTAACATACTGAGCCACCCAGGCACCCTTCTTTTACCTTTTTTAAAAAAAGATTTTATTTATTTGAGAGGGAGAGAGTGAGGCAGAGAGAGCACACATTGGGGGAGGGGTAGAGGGAGCAGGGATCCCCAAGGACAGTGATATGACCAAGCTGGCTTGGCACTGCTGAGCTGACTTGGGGCTCAATCCAGGACCCTGGGATCATGACCTGAAGCCAGGGCAGAGGCTCTTTTTTTTTTCCCTCTCTTGAAGGCAGATGCTTAACCTACTGAGCCACCCAGGCATCCTTACCCTATTTTCTTGAATTGAAGTATAGTTGACATACAATGTTATTATTTTAAGGAATACAGCATAGTAATTTGGCTAACCTATGCATTACAGCATGCTCACTCACCACAATAGGTGTAGTCCTGTTTTACCTTTTTATTTATTTTTATTTTTATTTATTATTATTTAAAATTTTTTTTTACTTAATTCATTTAACAGACAGAGATCATAAGTAGGCAGAGAGGTAGGCAGTAAGAGAGGAGGAAGCAGGCTCCCTGGTGAGCACAGAGCCTGATTCGGGGCTCGATCCCAGGACCCAGAGATCATGACCTGAGCCGAAGGCAGAGGCTTAACCCACTGGGCCACCCAGGCACCCCTATTTATTATTATTTTTAAAAGATTTTATTTATTTAGGGTAGAGAGAGAGTATGAGGGGGGAGGGGCAGAGGAGGAGGGAGAATGAATCCAAAGCAGACTCCACACTGAGTGTGAGCCCCAAGTGGGGCTTGATCCCACCACCACGAGATCACGATCGTGACCTGAGCCAAAACCAAGAGTCAGTCGTCAACCGGCTGAGCCACCCAGGCACCCTCCTTTTTATTTTTAAATTTATTTTATTTTATTTATTTATTTAAAGAAGATTTTATTTATTTATTTGATACAGAGAGAGAGGGAATACAAGCACAGGGAATGGGAGAGGGAGAAGCAGACTTACTGCTGAGCAGGGAGACCGATGTGGGGCTTGATCCCAGGACCCTGGGATTGTGATCTGAGCTGAAGGCAGACACTTAACTGACTGAGCCACCCAGGTGCCCCTTTTTGATTTTTTAAATAGATTTATATTTTTATGTAGTCACTTAATTTTATTCTCTAGTTATTTCCATTACTTTATGCTTAGAGAGCCCTCAAAAATTAAATTTCTATCATTTTTATGCTACTCTTTAATTTTTTTATTTTACTTTTTAATCTATAATTAATGTTAGTATTTGGTGTAAGGTGAGGATCTAGATAGGTCTTATTTTCCAAATAACCAGTCAGTTGTCCCAGCATCCCATTGAATGATGCTTTGCTAAGTGCACTGTTTAAGATGTTATTTTTTAAGAAGGCTTTTAAGTATGAGCTGAATTACCTCTTGAAAGAAATGAACAGAGGCTATTTAAGAGGTTGTTTTTCATGAATTTTTAGGGTTTCTTCCTGTCCTCACATAGTTTGAATCATTTTTATTGATTCTACCTGTAGACATTAAGTGATTAGTGCTATTGATTAGTTTATAATGACTGTAAGCAAGTATGAAGTTATTAACCTTTAAATAACTGCTTTATGGGTAAATGTGATAAGCAAGTTATGATTCACTACATTCTTTGAAGGCATTTTCTAAAATCTTTGGGCTCAGAAGGCATTTTCTCGAATGTTTAATCTGTTCTGCTTTTTAACATGCTGGCTTTTGAGGGGAGAGGAAGAAAGGTGGTGTATATCCTTTTGCTACAGGAAGCACAAAATTTTAAGTGAGCATTTTGACAAC